TACCAGACACCTGTTAAATAAAAACTTAATAGGTTTGGTTCCCTTGTTACTGATGTTGGCAAGGTACCAGACACCTGTTAAATAAAAACTTAATAGGTTTGGTTCCCTTGTTACTGATGTTGGCAAGGTACCAGACACTTGTTAAATAAAAACTTGATAGGTTTCGTTCCCTTGTTACTGATGTTGGCAAGGTACCAGACACCTGTTAAATAAAAACTTGATAGGTTTGGTTCCCTTGTTACTGATGCTGGAAAGAGCCTCTTAATTTCTGGTTTCTTCAAGGTGTCCAATTTTAAAGATTCCATGATGAAGACAAATTACAAGAGTTTAGTAGTTTTAGTACATAGAAGATGTGAGAGTTATCTTATTGTGTGTGTATTATTTGAAAGTCATTAATGAATCTCTGTTTTCTCCCGATGTGAGATGAAAAACCATACTTATCTTCTGATGTAATAGTTGTAGGGGTGGCACTCCTAATGTTTACCTTTTCTGGTTGTGTACCTTAACATTTTGTAGAAGTTACAATCAAAGCGCACTCAACCAAAAATTATACAGACGCTCTGATCTCAGTATCTATGCTAACAATTTGGATTTGGTAATGATAATGTACTACAGTACAGGTTTTTTTTTTTTGGTTGGGATTAATTATATGTCTGTTCTAACAGGTTGTGTTTATATTATAGGAGTGGAGCCCCCCAAGACCACATGAAATTAAACTTGCAGCAATTGACAATGGTTTAGCATTTCCATTTAAACATCCAGATTCCTGGAGAGCTTGTAAGTAAAGCTTGTGTGAAACTTGTGAAAATTAGTTCAGTAAAAATAATATTTCCTGCTCTTGACGTAGCAGTTTTCAAGAGTTGGGTGTGGTTTTCATGAAAGATTAAACATTGTTCAGATCATAAGGTAAAGCAGTGTGATACAGTAGTTGTTGAGCTTAAATGACCAATAATGTTTTTAAGAGAAGTTCTAGACAAACTACAAGTAAGAAAACTTGATCATTGCCTTGAATATCCTGTCTTAGTCTAGTTGTATTATGATGTGTTACTTTTAGTTGTGTGGTATTGTATTTTTATATTTCCTTTTTAGTCTAGTTGTGTTATGATGTGTTACTTTTAGTTGTGTGGTATTGTATTTTTATATTTCCTTTTTAGTCTAGTTGTGGTTATGATGTGTTACTTTTAGCTGTATAGTTTTGTTTGTTTATATTTCTGTTTCAGTCTTGTGGTGATGTATTACTTTTAGCTGTATAGTTTTGTTTGTTTATATTTCTGTTTCAGTCTTGTGGTGATGTATTACTTTTAGCTATTAAGTTTTGTTTGTTTATGCTTCTATTTTAGTCTTGTGGTGATGTATTACTTTCATCTGTGTAGTTTTGTTTGTTTATGTTTCTGTTTTAGTCTTGTGGTGATGTATTACTTTTAGCTGTGTAGTTTTGTTTGTTTATGTTTCTGTTTTAGTCTTGTGGTGATGTATTACTTTTAGCTGTGTAGTTTTGTTTGTTTATGTTTCTGTTTTAGTCTTGTGGTGATGTATTACTTTTAGCTGTGTAGTTTTGTTTGTTTATGTTTCTGTTTTAGTCTTGTGGTGATGTATTACTTTTAGCTGTGTAGTTTTGTTTGTTTATGTTTCTGTCTTGTGGTGATGTATTACTTTTAGCTGTCTTGTTTTTTATGTTTAGAAGGTAGTTTATGGAGTTTATTATATTGAGGATTTGTTGGAGGATTTCATAATTTTATATATTGAAGATTGTTTGGTGGATTTGGTAGTTTTTTTATAGTGAAGAGTTCTTGGTGGATTTGGTAGTTTGTGTAGTGTGGAGTTCTTGGTGGATTTGGTAGTTTTGTATAGTGTGGAGTTCTTGATGGATTTGGTAGTTTTGTATAGTGTGGAGTTCTTGATGAATTGAGTAGTTTTGTATAGTGAGGAGTTCTTGGTGGATTTGGTAGTTTTGTGTAGTAATGATCTTTTAATGGATTTGATAGCTTTGTACAGTGACAATTTTCTGGTGGATTTGTATAGTGAGAATTTTTCTATATAGTTAGGAATTTGTTATGTACTCAGTTAATGTTGGTTTGTTTAGATGTTGATGGATGTGGGATCTTTTTATAATCCGTTGTTGGAGTATTTTGTGTAGTTTCAATTTTTATGTGTAACCCATTTATGTATATTACCACATAGATTATAATCAACACTGAAATGTGCAAAAGTTAGGTTTTTGTTAGAACTTACATCACATGGGGTTTATCAACACACTAGAGATGGTAGAATAACCTTTAAGAAGTGTATCACATAACATGTTCTTAAAGGTTATTCTACCATCTCTAGTGTGTTGATAAACTCTAAAGTTTTTTGTGTGGTTTCTTTATTGCTATAAATGTGTTCTTTGTTTTAGAATGTAAGTTTATACTTGTTTCAGATCCGTATCACTGGGCATGGCTACCATCAGCCAAAGTGCCCTTCTCTAGTGAAACAAGAGACCTAGTTTTACCACAGCTGTCAGACATGAACTTTGTTCAGGATTTATGTGATGACCTCTATGATTTGTTTAAGGTAAGAGCATCTTTTAGTTAGCTTCTACTGAGTGAATTTCACTGTATGTTACAGAGATGTATTTAGTTTTATGACAGTTTGTTACTGTGTGCGAGATATTTCTAACTTTTATTTCATTGGTATGTTACAGTGTGACAGAGGTTTTGATAGGCATATATTTGAAAAACAGATGTCAGTTATGAGGGGTCAAGTGAGTATCAGTGTTTTTTTCGTTTAAATAAATTTGTGAGAAAAGAAATGCCCATTTGTTAATGGTAGCAACTTTAATGTTGTTACCTGTGTACAAAGAATTCATAATGTTTAATTGATTTCTGTTTATATTTAAATCACTCGAGTAAGGCTTATCAAGTAAATAGTTTTATTCATCACATTACTAGCGAAAGGAGTTTAAATATTCAATTATTTTATAGATTCTCAATCTGACACAAGCTCTAAAGGATGGAAAGTCTCCTGTACAGTTAGAATTGATAATGTTTAATTGATTTCTGTTTATATTTAAATCACTCGAGTAAGGTTTATCAACTAAATAGTTTTATTCATCACATTACTAGTGAAAGGAGTTTAAATATTCAATTATTTTATAGATTCTCAATCTGACACAAGCTCTAAAGGATGGAAAGTCTCCTGTACAGTTAGTTCAGATGCCTGCCGTAACTCTAGAACGTAGCCACACGAACGGCCGTGGAAAGATCCGCTCATTCAGTGACAACTTCACTCAGAGCTTCCACAGCAAAGCACCATTTTTCTCTTGGTGTTAGAGAAGGAATTAAAACTGAGGTCACTAATTGTAAAAGGAAAAGCAAAAAAATACTGCATTATTTTGATGTAAAAAAAATAATATAAAACTTTCTGGTAATTTTTTTTTTTAACTTCCAAAACATTTTAATGGCATTGCAAGTGCACTAGTCCCTTACAAATTGTTGATAATGTGATTGTGTTGTAGGATAATGGCTCCTTTTTTTTTTTCACAACATGCTTGTACGTATGTATGTATATCAGTACAGGTGTTATTTTGTGTTAGTTATTGTTGTAAGAAGTTCTAAAGCTTATGTTAATTCAGATTCCTTGTTTGTATGACCAGCTGTTTGTTTACTTGTGCTTTAGCATCATTTTGAAAAATGATGTATTAAGTTTATGTATAAATTGATAATAGCTAATTATATCTTTAAAAAAAATACCTTTCTAATCAATTCTAAACTTATTTCCTTTCTTTCTTGAATATTATTTAAATACAATGAGACAGCTTGAGTTAAACACGGATCTTTTAATCTATGTTCTTCTGACAGCCCAACACACTCGCAAAGTTTGCACCAATATTCAAAATGCATACTAAGCACGGGTGCGTTAGTACCTTCTGATGTTCGTCATCTTTCGTTGGGCAACAATAAAAACAGTTTGCACCATGTTGTGATCAAAACAGTATCAGTATAGCTTCACTTTATAACTATTTATTATTCCTGATTGGACAGCAATCTTGTTCGTTATAGGCTGGTTTGGAAGTGATTAGTCATGTTGAAGACTTTCTGGTAATGATTTTACTATCACTGATCTTATAGTCATGCTGCATACACAAACAATTCAACCTGATATTTTTATAATGGCCACAACAACTTTATAATTATATCGTAATGTTTATTTTGACAAACAGTTTGACCTTGGAAGAACTTTTAAAGGTTGCAGTTATACTTGTGAATGTTTTATCCATTCCAAAAGTATTGCTCATGCCTGGATATTTACTTTTTGTATGTGTAATATGGCAATTGAGTCAACTTTGTACATGTTTAAATACTGCAAATTAGGAAGGATTAATTCGTATTCTTTTTTTTTTTTTAATTAGGTGGCAGTTTATAGGATAAACTTAATATAAAACATTAAAAAAAAAAT